GCAAGCTGCCGGGTCAGGCGCGGGCGAACCAACAGCCATGACTGTTGGCGCTTTTGCGCCGTCCTGACATCGGTGGCGGCAGTTGGTGCAGAAAGACGCAAGGCCTGCATTTGCGCTCGCAATGCCTCTCACATCTGGCTGAGGCGTGAAGGAGTCAGCCACGAACTGGACCATCAGCGGCGATGTCGGCGGGCCCCCTCCAGGGAGGGGTGGAGTCACCCACGGGAGCAGCGGTCGCTGCCCAGGCATCAATAAGCGCACGCACGAGCGCACCAATGAGGTGCACCCCGGCCCGCATGCCTCGTCCCACTCCAAAGTCAAGCAGGAACGTCAACGGCCCACCAGTGGCCCGAGGCGGACCCTCGAGCCACCAGCGTCCGCGAAGCCCGGCCTTGCGGAGCTGCAGGAGAACAGCGTCCCGCCAAGCGATGCCGAACCCATGCAAGAGGTCTGCCTTCTGGACAAGCGTGCGCTTCCCAGCGGACTTCCGAAGTTGCAGCGCCATCAGCAGGCCGGCCGCCATCAACGTAGAGTCGTAGGAGGAGGAGAAGGAGGAGGAGGAGGAGGAGGAGGAGGAGGGGGAGGAGAAGGAGGAGGAGGGGGAGGAGAAGGAAGGGGAGGAGGAGGAGGAGGAGGATGTACGATGGAGGAAGGAGGAGGGAGGAGGGATGTGAGGTGAGTGACGCGGAGCGCTGTCTCTTCAAAACGAGGACCCAACACCGCAGGATGGTTGGGAAAGTCCATGTTGTGAAACCGCTGTTCTTCCTCACCACCCTGTGGTATGAAGAGACAGTCCCCCGCGTTCGCTCCTCCTTTTTTTTCCCCTCCCTCCTCCCATCCTTGCCTCTGGCCTCTGTGTGTCAACCTGTTCGGTACACCCCTCGCATGCTTCGTGGCCCTATAGGGAGGTCCACCGGAGGCCCCAGTGGCAAAGTCCAATGGCGTCTCCCCCACCCAGTATTCAGGAGGGAAAAAACACACGGACACAATTTATCGTCGATCCCCCAGAAAATAGGGGAAAATATGGGAAGTGGTGGGGAAGACGAAAAGCCAGAACATATAGGAAAACATGGGGAATCTTTTTATTTGTGTGTATTTATTTGTGTAGCGTTCCTGGGCCCATAGGGCGCTCCACTGAAGTCCATAGTGGCAAAGTTCACATGCGCCTCCCCCGTCGAGCACAGCGTTCGTTACGTGGCCCACGGGGAGCTCCACCGAAGACCCCCGTGGCAAAGTCCATTTCGTTTTCCGCACCCAGTACAACGATTCGTGCCCCCATGAGGGGCCCCACCGAGGGCCCCAGTTGCAGGGTCCACATGCGTCTCCCCCACCCAGTACAGCGTTTCGTGGCCCATAGGGCGCGCGGTGCGCTCACCTTATCCAGCACGGCGTTTTGTGCTCCATAAGGAGCTCCACCGAAGGCCCCAGTGCCAGGGTCCACACGCGGCTGCCCCACCCAGTACAGCGTTTCGCGGCCTATGGGGAGGGCCACCGAAGGCCCCAGTGGCAAAGTCCAATTGCGTCTCCCCCACCCAGTATAGCGTTTCGTGGCTCGTAGGGCGCTCCACCGAAGTCCCCAGTGGCAAAGTTCACATGCGTCCCCCCCACCCAGCGCAGCGTTACGTTGCCCACAGGGGGCTCCACCGAGGGCCCCAGTGGCAAAGTTCGCATGCGTCTCCCCCGCCAAGTACAGTGATTTTGTGGCCCATAGGGAGCTCCACTGACGAAGATCGCCACACCTGCGGTACGCATAAATGCAGTCGGTTGTGTCCTTTTCCGCGCTAATCTCCATGTGTTCGGGAACCTCGGTCTTGAAATCTTTATGGTACCTGACGCAGTTGACGTATTTTGACATGCGCGCGCGACCTCCCGCGCGAGTGGGCTTTGTCCCTCGCAAGGGATTCTTGAACACTGACGATTTTCGATAACGCGTGTGCGCGCACAATTTCACTTGACAAGGATGAATGGGGGCGTCCAGGGGGCCTGGCTGGGATGGTACGAGTTCTTATTTCAAATGGACGATGGGGCAGAACCATGTGTAAGTTGTTTTATCCCAGGGGGAACCGATACAGCCGGGGGTGGTGGTGGTAGATCCGATTTCTTAGAAAATCACTGTTGTGCAATCTATGTGGTGCAATCTATATTGTGCAATCTGTGTTGTGCAGTCTATGTTGTGCAAGGTATGAGGTGGCGACGGGGCGGCGACGGCGACGACATGGCCGCCGGACCGACGCACAGGCCCAGACGATGGGCGGCGACGAGGCGGCGAAGCAGTGGCGACGGCGACTACATAGCCGCCAGACCGACCTTCAGGCCCAGACGACGGGCGGCGACGAGGCGGCGAAGGGGCGGCGATGGGGATTACCTAGCCGCCAGACCGACCTTCAGGGCCAGTTCCTTTGAACACAGTATGTCAGCCAGCTTGGACCCCAAATTCTAGCAATCTATGTGGTGCAAATTATATTGTGCAACATATCCTGTGCAAATCAACGAGAAGCAGTGCGAAGCAACGCAAAGCCACGCAACGCAGCGCAACGCCGCGAGAACAATACAAAGCAATGCACAGCCACGCAAAGCAGGAGGGAGGAGGGGAAAGGGAGTGCAACGCAAAGCAATCCCAAGCATGGCGTAGCAATGCAAAGCGAGGAAAGTAATGCAATACAATGCAATGCAATGCAATCCATGGGACGGCGTAGCAACGCAAAGCAAAGCAAAGCAATGCAGAGAAATACAATGCAACGCAAAGCGATGCAATTGGCAATGCGCAGCCATGCAAAGCTACGCAAGCAGTGCAAGCAGTGCACTGCAATGCACAACACGGCCTCGACGACGGGCGGCGACGAGGCGGCGACAGGGCGGCGACGGCGACAACATAGCCGCTAGAGCGGCGCACCGGCCCAGACGACGGGCGGCGACGATGCGGAGACCGGGCTTCGACGGCGACTGCATAGCCGCCAGGGCGGCACACCAGCCCAACTCTGTATAACAGAAGTACGGACCCCTAAGTGCAAGCACTGTTTGGGGAAAGGAGAACCGCTAAGTGCTAGGACAGGTTGGGCGACAAAGCGATCTCCTAGGCAGCTCCCCGTCTAGAGCGCGACTGGCGCCGCCCCGAGGCGGCCTGGCAGCTGCGCCTGACACACGTGGGCCCCCAGGCCCGCACGAGCCCAGCTGGAGGCGATGGCGCCGTCGCGCGCCGCGCGCACGGGCGCGCCCCGAAGACGGCGACGGCGCCCTGCCGCGCGAGGTCGGCAGCACCCCCTCCCCCCCTGGGCGGCCACTGCGGCGGCCGGCCAGGTCGCGATCCGAGATCGCGGGCGCGAGCTCGGACACTGCGCGCTGCGCGCGCCCGCACGGCCCCGCTGGCCTTCTCCGGGCGGCCGCGGACGACCGCGGTGCGGCGCCGCGCGCCGCGGGCCCGCCACGTGCTGGGCCCGAGGGGGGCCCGTGCTTCGCCTACCGACGCCCTGTCCGTGCCTCTGCCGCCTGCCTCTCCCCCCCTTTCTCTCCCTATGGACGCCAGGGGGGTGAGGGGCACTGGCGCCTCCAGCTCTGGACGCGGCTCCAGAGGCGGGGCTCCCACCCCTGCCCCCGTTCCCGTCCCCCTTTTGCTGGGCTTTTGGAGCAGGGCAGGGGCAGTGGACTCTTGGATGGGGGGTCCGCCCATCCCGGCAAGGGGTTCTTCGGGCCAGGTCCTGTACGGCGGGCGCACGGTGACTCTTCGACTGTGCATCCAGCACAGTTGCGCCCTAGGCCATGCCAGGGGTCTGGAGGAGGAGGAGGAGGAGGAGGAGGAAGAGAGGGAGGAGGAGGAGGAGGAGGAGGAGGAGGAGGAGGAGGAGGAGGAGGAGGAGGAGGTGGACAAGGAGGAGAGAAGGAGCAGCGAAACCAAGTCGGAACAAGTAGGACCTGAACCCAGCGCGGCCTCACCCCAGCTAGGGTTTCCAGTGCTCCAAGCAATTCAAAAAATTTCGGAACAGTTCAAAGCACTGCAATGCAAAGCATTTCAATGCAAATCATGGTTCGGCATCTATTCCTTTCTTCCACGAGCAAATAAGAATCCCACAGGCAAAGCCGAATAAGGTTATTTGCATGTGAAGCCTGGATGTCGAACGTATGGAGTAATCTACAGAGGGGGTTGGGGCATCCCCTTACCCGTCTCACGTCGCCAGCGGTCGCCTGACTTGGCTTAGTTTCCCAAGGCACGAGGGGGGGGTCCCCAGGCGACGCGACTTCTAGAATTCCAGGGCCCCCCTCCTGATACTCCCTCACTCTACCAGCGACGTGACGCGGGACGTGTGCGGGGTCTCCGTTGGAGTGCTGCACAGCCCCTGCCAATAAGATCGTTGGCACCCAAGCATGGTCCAGTGTGCCATGGGGCAAGTTGCGAACATGCGTGCATGTACAGTGGCCATCTGTATGTGTATAAACATAGGCAGCACCCCGCAGTCGCGGATAAGAGTGAGGGGGCGTCTGGGACGTCTGCAGTCTGCGAGGCTCTGAAGAAGCCCGCCGCAGGCGCCTACATTTTACACATTATACAACGAGCCCGCCGCAGGCGCCGACATTTCGTCGAAGCAACGTGGGTGGAACGCGGGGTGGGTCGCGGGTGGGTCGCGGGCTCGGTCGCGGGTGGGTCGCGGGTGGGTCGACGGTGGGTCGCGGGTGGGTCGCGGGTGCGTCGCGGACGGGTCCACCACCACCGACAACACCACCAAGAGCAACACCAACACCAACATCACCAACAACAGCAACGCCACCACCAACAACAGCAACAACAGTAACACCACCGACAACAACACTAATCCGCATCACGGAATCCCACTTCAGCCACGCACCCAGGGACAGTGAATGACCGTTCGCCCCCTCATTCTGACATTTGTAGATGCATGTACATGGGTACACGTGTAGTGGATCCATGCATGCATGCTTGCAAGTGTGCAGTGGCATGCGTGTAAGCTGCGTGTTCGTGTAGCCACATGGTGCCCGGCCTGCGTCAGGTGGCATTCCTCCTGGCATTTTCGGCTTCGTGGACAAGGAGCTGGATTGGTTCAAGCGGTTCGACATCAACCCTCTTTTTGTGTTTCAGGCTTGAGCTGGCATTGCGTTTTCCAACACCTCCTGCTCTGGCTTCTCGTTATGAATAGAGCGTTGCTCGTGCGTTTCCCCCTCTCGCCTTACTCCTCTTGTCTTGTGCCTCCTCCCTGCAGGCTTCCTGGTGTCGCCAACTGCGCAACCATCGCCACTTTCGTGCGTTTTTTGGCGGCCCAGCGCAGTGGTGTCGTGCGCACATCTAGGCTAAACGTCGTGGCTCCCCCAGGTGCGGACACCTGACGACTGCCTCCACTTTCGTTGGCCCTTAGGAGGGCCAGCGCAGCGGTGTCGTGCGCACATCCAGGCTAGGCCTCGCGTTTCCGATAGGGTGTTGTGTCACCAGCACAACCGTCGCCACGTTCGTAGGGTTCTTGGGTGGCCCAGCGCAGTGGAGTCATACGTACATCCAGCCTGGACCTCGGAGCTCCCTGGTGGTGGTGCTGCCGCCTGCGCAATTGTCGCCACGTTCGTGGGCTCCTGGGAGGCCCAGCGCAGGGGTGCCATGTGCTTCCACAGCCTGGACCTCGCGGCTCCCTGGGGGTGCTGCCACCTGCGCAATTCTCGTCACTTTTGGCTCCTCGGGGGCCCAACGCTCCAGATTAGACTTCGCGGCTCCTTGGAAGTGATGCCACGGACCATGGTTCGTGGGCTCCTGGGAAGCTCCGGTGCCATGCGCACCTGCCGGTCGCTGATCACTGGAAGCGATGCCACTTGCGCAAGTGCCGCCACTTTCGTGGGCTCCTGGGAGGCCCAGCGCAGTGAAGCCATACGCACCCGCAGTCCAGGCCTCGCGGCTCCCTGGGGGTGCTGCCACCTGCGCAAGTCTCGCCACGTTCGTCTCAGCCATGAGTGCGTCCAGTCGAGGCTGACTAGTAGGTCGACCCTGCCAAATCAAGGGTACCATTGTGTCCTGTGCCTCGCGACCCATGTTTCTACATTCCTATGGCAATGTGGCCCTCGGAAGAGTCTTGCGCCCTCTCGCGCATCCTCTTCAATTCACTCCGAATTTCAGCTAATATTTCGATGCAGAAGCCTCTTGGCAGCTTACCTGGGCCCTCTTGGGGGTATGTTGGGAGCCTCTGGGGCTCTCCTGGGTCCCTGCTGGGGTTTCCTTGATGCCTCATGGGGGCCTCGGGGCACACATTGGGGCCATCCTGTAAGCCATCGATCAATGAAGGGGGTGCTCTTACTTAGCAGTGCCCTCCTGAAGCACCAGCAATCGCCTCCTGGGACCCTCTTGGAGCTCTCTTTGACGCTTTTGGTTTCGTCTTGGGTTCATATCAGGGCTATGTTGGGCCAGCTTGGTGCCATGTTGGGGCCCCGAAAAGCCAATCGGAAGCGGAAGTCTGATAATGCCACATTTATGTGGTTTCATTTGGCGTTGGACGGGTGTTGGCCTCGTGGGTTCTGCCTTCCGAGGCTCCGTGGGCGCTTTGCACTTTGGAGCCGTCTTGTCACGAAGCTGCGTCCCCCAAGCGGATTGGTGCAACGATTCTGTGTTTCTCCAGAGCACAATCGTTTATATGTTTCAAGTTTTTCGGCTGTTCTTTGTTCAGAAGTTGTTGCGTCGCCGACCCGCTCTGATGTTGGGCGTTCGGCGTGCGGCTTGCGCGCGATCTGGGTTCGACGCGTCATTTGATCGGCGTCGCCCCCGGTCTGTTTCCGCCCCGTCCCTCTGCTACCCTGTTTCTTTGAAGTTCAGAATCGCGTTTTCGGGTATCGTTTCAGCTCGCGGTGGCCTCTTCGGGGGTCTTGTGCGCGTCGTGGGCCGTCTGGAAGCCATCGTGGGTGTCGCGGGCCGATCGCTCGACGACTCGGAGCCCTCTTGAACCGTCTCGGGCGCCTCTTGGGGCCCTTTTAGATCGCTGTGGGGCACCTGAAAGCCGCACCCAGGAGAAAAACCATCTCTGGCCCGACCTGGCCGGGGCACTTTGCGTCCGGGGGTCCCTATGGGCCGCCCCGCGCGCGCGAAGTAGAAATACTGCGAGGCAGTCGCCGGAGATCTTCGCACGACTCTGGCCCGATGGGCCGGCGAGTTTCCCCCGAGAAGCATGTCCAGCGTGCCATGGGGCGCGCGACGAACGGGCAGGCCAATTTCGACGACTCCGTTTCTCCTCTCCTGCTGCTGCTTCCCATTCTTTCCTCTTCTCGCTGCTGCTGCTGGCCCTCCTGCTGCTGCTGCTGCCGCTCCCCCCTCTTTCTCTTTTCCTTGCCGTCGCTGATGTTGCGCGGGCACGCCTGCTTGGCATGCCGGCGCGCCGAGCAGGCCCGCGATTCTGTCCCCACGATTTCGCCCACGATTTCGCCCGCGATTTCGCCCGCGATTTCGGACACGATTTTGCCCACGATTTCGGACATGAATTTTGCTTGCGATTTTCGGCCAGAATTTCGCGCCCCCTTACAAGGCCCCACGAAACCACCCACGATTTTGAACACGACTTTTTGATCGATGAATTTGTGAGAAAATCGTGATGGAAAGAATGTGCCCCGCAGAAGGGAGGCAAAACAAGTTTGTAAAATCGGGGCCAACAATGTGACCCAAATCGTGGCCGAACAGAGGAGGGGATGAGGGCGCCGCGGAAAGGCGGCGGGGGGGTCGGGGATGGGGCCAGGGGCTCCTCCCTCGGGGACCCCCGCTCGGTTGGAGAGGATGCCCTCGCGGCGGGCTGCGCTGCCTCGCGGAGCGGGTTCGCGATTGGGCCGCCATGCCCGCGGTCGCTGAGGCTTCGAAACCGACGTTTGCCGTCAGGTCCCTCTTATCCGCCACCGGCGCAGCCGCGCGCCGTGGCCCCCGAGGGAGAGCGCCAGGGCTTCGCCGCGGTTGCGGTAGAGTCTGCGCCAGCGGCCCCCGCGCCCGCGGTGGGCCCCACGAGCGCCACTCCCCAGAAGCGGAGTTTGCTCGACTTGCGCGGGCATGAGATCCAACCGCCTCAGGCGTCCCGCCTATTCCCCACGCGGCGCTCGCGTTCGACCGTTTCTTCTTGAAGTGCGGTCTCCAAAGTGGCCCTTTCTTGTGGTCCGTCGGTCCCGTGCCGGCGCGTTCCATCATGAATCAGCTTGGGAGGCGTTCCTCCCGCGCAAGCCATGGGCCGCGCGGCCGGGGCAGCGCCTGGCGTTTCGACGGCTGCGCGCGCGCCGGTTTCGTCTGCGCTTCGACGGCTGCGCGCGTCGAGATCCGCGCGGGCGCTATGCCCAACGACCGCGAAACGAACCGTCATCGCGGTGATGAGTTCCATAGCGACCGCGTGACGGCCTGGCTCGGGGGCCGCGTTGTTCGCGCCTCCGCGGCGCGCCTAGCGCGATTCAGTGGTAGGGGCAGGCGTCGCGCGGCCATGCGATGGCGCGCGGGCGTTCCATGATGTTTTTCCGCGGTCCAGGTTGAGGAAAGCGACATGCTGGAAATTTTACCGTTGTGAAATCGTTGGGGGTCCGCGGGGTGAGGGGGCTCTGCTTGGCAGGGAAAGTCTTGGTGCTCAAACTGGGCCCCTGGCCCCCCCTGGATTACAACAACAATGGCTCCCGCTTGAGACTTCCTCCGAATTTACTCAGGACCACCGCTCCTGAGATTCCTTGCAATTTATTCCGGATCGGTGCTCACGCCTGTGACTTCCTCGCAATTTAGTCAGGACCCCCGCTCCCACCTGAGACTTCCTGATCATTTACTCAGGAAAAGCGCTGCCGCTTGAGATTTCCTCGCAATTGAATCAAGGCTTCTTCGCAATTTAATCAAGACCTCCACTCCCGCCAGAGAACCCTTCACATTTTATTCATGAATTGTGCTCTCGCCTGTGACGTCCATGCAGTGTATTCAGAAATCGCGCTTTCGACGCTCAAGAAACACGCTGCGCCAAGGACGCCGTTACAACAATTTACTTAGTACTCGCGTTCTCGCCATACTCAGCCATCCCTCTTGAATGTCCCACCCGCCCGGCCCGCCCGTCGGGGGATCGCCCGCCCGTCGTGGGCTCCCGTTCGAGACTTCCCTCAGGAACGGCGCCTTCGCCTAGGACTTCCTCGAACGTTCACGCTCTTACCTTCCTGCTCTTCCTCCCTCTCCCTCCTCCCTCCTCCCTCCTCTCCTCCCTTTTCTCTCCCTCCTCTCTTCCCTCATCGTGTATGCCTATCTGCCCTATCCCCTGTCTCTCCTCTCCCTCCATCATCCCTCCCCTCTCCTGCCTTCTCCCTCCCTCTTTCTTTCTCTCTCCCCTTTTTTGTTGTTCTCTCTCTCTCTCTCTCTCTTTCTTTCTCTGCCTCTCTTATCTGTCTCTTTCTCTCTTTCTCTCTCTCTCTCTCTCTCTCTCTACCTCTAATCAACCGCCCCCCTTTTCGCTCCTTCTCTCCTGGCGTGTTCCCTTTTCCTTCGTCCCTCCCCCCCCTTCCTCCCACTCTCCCTCGTTCTCCCCCTCTTCTTTTTGCAGGGCCCACACTAATTCCAAAGGCGTGCACATGTACGCTCACGAAGGATTGTCCGCCCGTTCAGGTTTGCCCGCCTGTGTAAGCCCGCCGCCCCCCGCAAAGAGAAATACCCCCCCCAAAGAGGGTGTGATCGAATACTACAAGGACGGGTATCGAGGGTGTGGGGAACTCGTTTTGAATGGCACGCGGGCAAACAAGAGCGAACACTCTTATAATGATTGTTGTTGTTGGTGTTGTTGTTGTTGAACATTATTACTTCTAAAGAATAATTATTGTTGGGGCCCCTGGTGCACGACCCCCCCGCCGCGCCTAGGCCGCAGCCTCATTTTCATCATTTTCGTGAGGAAGTCTCAGGCAAAACGGGGGAGTCCGGATCCGGTTGTGTTGTTACGATCGGTTTTCCCTTGCAAAAAATAGCTAAAGTGGACATTTCTTGTTCTAACATAACCAAACTTCAAGAATCCCTTGCAAAAAATAAAGTAAAGTGGACATTCGCGCGCGCAAGACGAAATCCTTCCAAAACCTTAGTGTTCGTAGCGATTTTAACATAAAAACATCAAAAAACCAATGGTTTTTCAA